TCCTGGACCGGGGTGTCGCCGCTGGCCATCTTGTTGCTGTAGTGCTCTGCGATGGCTTGGGTCTGCAGCCAACCTCTCATGGCATCCGGATTCTTCGCAAAGCTCTTCAAGGACTTTGCGGTCTCTGGGTTGCTCTCGACGTAGGCACGAACCTCCGCCCATGTTTCGTCATCCACATCTGGGAGTCTGCAGATCTCCATGGTGCTGCCATCGCTGATCTTCAGCGTCTCGGTGGCCATGTTGCCCGCTTGGAGGAGACAGCCGAACACAGGGATTGCTCCTTTCCTCGAGCCGCGCAGAAAAGCGAGACTCAGCAGCCAAAGACCCCGCGAAGGCGCGCACTGAATCTTGGGGCTTAAGGATGCGATGCTGAAAAAACCCACTTGATACACTGGATCTTGAAAAGCACAGATCCTAGCTGGGTTTACCATGGGTCGGTTGACTTTTTAGAAGAGGCGCGGTGCTTTGCGCTGTGCGCTTTGGGCACAGTCACCGGGATGTCATGGTCCACTCCTGAGGCACTCGGGGTGGATTAAATCCTGGACTCCCGGACCAAGCCTCATTCACACGCCACGGTCTGTGGTTATCAGTTGTTGGCTTCCTCCGCTCGCGCTGCGAATGAAGTTGAGTCACGGGAAACCACTGGCTTCAAAAAGAAATTGCTCGATGAAGCTGTAAACTCGAAGAAGGGGAAGTAGGAACGCCTCACTGTGCTCCGTGTGCCTTTAAGATCTGCATGGTCGCCTCCTGTTTGTTCTGTGTGGCCACTGCCAGTGGTGTCATGCCCTGTACATTGGGTTGGCTCACATTGGCCCCGACCTTAGGTGCAAGACCACGCAGGGAACGTGAATGGGAATCCTTATACCAAACTCAGAAATATTGGTACATATTGCAGCAACCTAGAGAAGAGCTACTAGTCGCTGTCAGGAAAAGGCGTGTGCCTGCACCCGCGCTATGTGGGTGCCCGTCCCTGTACGCTAGGACAAGATCATCCAAAATAACGTTCTTTGACCCACAGAGTCAGCCTTGGCCATACAAGCGCAATTTCAGGACAAACTGTCATCCTACGACCTTGTGCCTGCATTTTACATTCTACAATTCAAACATAGCACGCGTGAGGCACATACACATAGAAGCCCTCACGTGCAACACCCGATACTGCTCATAGTCCCATAGAACTCCAAAGAGCCCAACACCCTAAACCCCTATGTACTCCAACGCACCTTCCACAACCCCTGCGAAGCTCACCGCAAGCTACCCTGCAAGCAAATCCTACCTTCAGGAGGTACTCGACCAGCTCCCTTCTTCCGTAGCCGGCGGCGTAGTGAAGGCCGGAGTTACCGGAGCTGTCCACAGCCTCAGCAGACGGGGCCTCACAGCGGCCTAATTCGAACAAGGTGTTGTGTGGTAGGTTATGGTATACAGGGACTGCGTCGGCTTGAGGATGTTTGGGCATCCGGGCTTTTGGGCTCTTGCGCCGCGGAGATTTCGGGGGTTTATGGATGCCGTTCATGGTTCTCCGGCTCAGACTGAACTTACAGTCTATACTGGGGTTGGAACAGTCGAGTGTGCTGTTCGCGCTGTCTTGATTGTTTCGGGTCTTCTTGTCGACAGGTCGAGACGACGGTATAACCGGTAAAGGAAACTGGGACAAGACAAGTAGAGCAGAGGGTACAAGAGCATAAGGTGCAGGACAGGCAACATATGGGTTTGCCCTGCTGTCCAAGAGCTTCTTCACCACGGCGATGCCTTGGGCTCCACAGATCAGTGACCTAACGGACAAACCTATGAAGCATAATGAACCCGTGAAGCCAAACCAACAAAACGACAAAAGGACGGCAAAGCCGACAAAAAGGACGGCAAAGCCGACAGGCAGGCTGTAACTTCATCCAATATCTCCGTCAGGGTTTCGCAGCTTCGGCTGGGACTGCTCGGATGTACAGGGCGTCATTAAGGTTTCATGCTCCCGAACGGACATGACCCAGGCAGGGTGGAGCTTTAGGCACAAGGCTCTATTTGAGCCAGGAAGCGGTTGGCACCGATGGCATAGCCTAGCGGAGTGATCCCCTTGAAGTCCTGCGCATCCAGGGGCTTGTTCTTGTCTAAGAACTGCTGGACGGCTGCGAGATCCCCCTTCTTGGCTGCTTCGTGGAGGGTCAGCGAGGTGTCTTCAATCTTCTGAAGAACGGGCTGAAGCTCGGAAGG